AGACAGTCATGCATGTACCATGTGTTGTTCAAACCAGTGGGAATATGTTAATTCTAGAAGTTTAGAATGCTATATATTGTTTGTTGCAGCAACAAATTTTTTTGTAGCCAAGCCAAGTAGTACAATTAAATTTTCTTTTATTGATAATTTTATAAAGTTTTAATGAGCTTTTTAAAAAACACCATTTGCTTTAGCATTTTCCTAAATTGAAGAAAAAGAGGGAGTGGAGGGTACTCAGACATTCTCTTGAATTTTGTGGCTTTCTTTTGTGTGTGTGGCGGGGGAGTACCGGGGATTGAACTTCAGACCCAGCGCTTGTCAGTCAAGTGCCTAGTTTACTGAACTATCTCCCTGGCCCAAAACTTTTTTTTTTTTTTTTTGGCTGGCTCAGCCCACGTGTGGTGCTGGGAATCAAACCACGGTCTCCTATGCCCGCCTAAGCAGGTGCTTTAGACTGCAGAGCTATCTCACTGGCCCCTTGTTTTTCCATTTATACTGATTGTTCTCAAGGGCTCTTTACCTAGGTTGTCAACTAGATTTTTCTCACACTTTTCCTGTGTTGAATAAAGCTAATCCTGAATTCTGTACGTTCCCTTTTTTTTGTGCCAGAATTCGAACTCAGGACCTTATGTTTGCCAGACCCTTTCTTTCTTAAACAGAGTACTCTCTTATTGTGGTAGAGGACATTTTCGGATAACCTCAAAAGAAAAGATATCTGAGAATTAATTTCATTTATTGCTTACATCCCTGGTCTTGATTTTGTTGTGTATATGTTGAAAAGTAAAATTTTCAACATTTTCAACAAAGTGCCCAACTGCTCCTTGAGGATGTTAGGAAACCAGATTGAATGCAGTGAAATATGCTTTAAACTTGGGAAAAGTTATCAGTCAGTCACTGTTGGAACTGCAAATTCTAGCCAGTGAAAAAACTAAAAGCATTACCACACTGACAGATTCTTCCTCTGTAGTTCATGCTGGCCTTCACCTTACTAGGTTGTCCAGGCTGGCACTGAATTTGTGTCAGTCCTCATGCCTACATCTCCTGAGTGCTGGGACTATAGGTATGTACCACCACATCCATCTTCTCAGAACTTTAAAGGCTTCTTGCTTCTGCCTTCTGGTAGAAAAGCTAGCACTTGCCTCATTCTTTGTAGGTGACTTATTTTCATTTTCCATAAAGTTAAGGCCATTTTATTATCCTAGGTATTAGGAAATTTTAGAATAGTTAATCTGGACCAAGTCTTTTTCCACATGTTGAATATTTGCTAAGTAGTATTTATAACATTTAGAAGGGTAATTTTTTGTGTTATTAATAGATTGTTTTATGGCCTAAAGTTCTCATAACAATACTCACTTTCTAATTCTAGATGTGGGTGAGCATATTGTACGTTTTGACAATCTTATGAATCAAAAAGAAGATAAACTGAGACAGAGGTATCGGGACACCTATGAAGCTGTTTTATGGCTGAGAAGTAATAGAGACAAATTTAAGCAAAGAGTTTGTGAGCCCATAATGCTAATGGTAAGAAATTTACTTATCTTGTAGAATCTTTTGGTTTTATTATTGCAGTAATTGTAGATTTCTGTTACAAATTCTTAGTCCTCTTGACACCTTTTCTAGTGTGGATATGTGACATAGCTGATCTAGGTCTTAATTTGCATATGAGGTTTATAAAAGTCTTGTGATCAGTGAGGTTAAGTAACTATCAAAAACTTGCAAATGTTTTTCTGGAAAAAAGCCGTATGAAACTTGACATTTACTCTCCATGAATTATGTATAAAATTATCTTGATTAGCTGGTTCTTAGTATGTGATAAATTAAAACCTGCCATGGAAGTAGAAAAGTACTATAAATAAAAAAAGTTGATAAAGGAACTTGTAATCAGATAGGTAAGGAAATCACCTGCTGTACTCCAGGGCAGTCTGAGAATTTTGATAATGAAACATTTATTAACATTATAAAGTATCTGGTAGCTGATGTTCGCGGGTCAGCAAGATGAGGATAAGAGGCCAAGAATGATTGTACATACCCATATCCCAGCTTGTTATGAAGCCAAGGCAAGGACATTATCACAAGTTGAAGGGTAGCAGGGCAGTTTATGAAAGATTAAAGGAATGAAAAATTACATTCTTTGATTATAATGCATTAGATACAGATATATAAATTTTGAGAGTTGCCCAGATAAGAATTATTTTCGTGAAATTTTTTGGGGGGTGGGGAAAGAATTGATTAGTCAGGCATGTTGACACATGCCTGTAAGCCTAGCACTTGGGAGATTGAGGCAAGAGTGTTACCATAAAATTGAGGCCATCCTGGTCTACGTACCAAGACCTTGTCTCAAGAGAGAGAGAGAGAGAGAGAGAGAGAGAGAGAGAGAGAGAGAGAGAGAAAGAATGCACGAACCAACCTTGAAGGATTAATGAAAAGTCTTTTTTGTTTTGTTTTTAGCTGTGTGTCACTATGGAGTTCAAGATGGCCTTGAATTCACTGTATATCCCAGGCTAGCTTTGAACTCATGACAGTCCTTCTGCTGTAGCCTCTTAAGTCCTAGGATTATAGGTGTGCGCCATGTCTGGCAAAAAGTTTAATTTGAATCTTTTATTATGTTTTACAGTAGCAGAGATTTATATAATATAGTCTCATTCAGGGATGAATTAAAATATTTTTGCAAGATCAAGAAGACAGTTTCTATTTTGGTTAATAGAAACTTTTGAATAATTTGATGAAGATTGAAAGAAAAGATAAATACACCATTGTCCTTGGTATAAGTTATAATACACATATAATTGTTAAGACTTTTTTTTAATCTTTGAGACAGGGTCTCACTGTGCAGTTCATGCTGTCCTTGAACTCACTTTGTAGCCCAGGCTGGTCTCAAACTCACGATGATCTTCCTGCCTCAGCATCCTAAGTGCTGGGACTACAGGTGTGTACCATCACACCCAGCTGTCAATAGATTTTTATTTCTTTTATTTTACTTTGTGGTACTCGGGATCAATCTCATGACCTCGTACTTGCCAGGCAGGTGCTTATGTCACTGAGCTATCTCCCCGGCCCAGATTTTTATAAAAGTGCCAAATTTAAAATAATATTTTAGAACTTATTAGATTAGTCATCCATCATTTTTCTTACATTAATGTATCACGAAGTCAGATTACTAGTTGACATATATTTATATTTTAAATTACACTTGAATCTTTAGAAGAGATATCTGCGTTGTCATGCTTCATAGAATAACTTCACCTTTTCTATCACCTCTGACCATCCTTAACCTTTCAAAGGACTATTTGAAATGTTAACACCTCTGTAGGCAAGTTAGCAATATGCAAGCATGTAACTTGTCACCTGGGAATCTGTTTCCATGATTTTTTTTCTTTTTTCTTTTTTGCGGAACCAGGGATTGAACTCAGGCTCTTGCGCTTGCCAGGCAAGTGCTTATTCTACTGAGCTATCTCCCCAGACCCTGTTTCCATGATTTCTAACAGTTCCAGTCTAGAAGTTTAGAAAAGGTTTATTTACAGATGATATATTTCTTACAGTGATGTTTCTAATAGCAGACTGATGGGTAAAAGAAGAAAATTTATGAAGTTATCACTTGTTACTCTACTCTTACAGTGAGTACTACCTAGACATTAAAAATATAGGTATAGCTCTTGTAATAATAGATCCGACATTGTTCATGAATTATAAAACAGGTTTCCTAATGGGATATATAGAAAATTTTATTTTAAAATTGTGAAACAAGAAGCTGTAATCAACCACCAGATCATTTTGGACTGTATCTCCTTTATTTCCCTATCATTTGTTAAAACTTTGTAAACTGTGACTATGAAGTTCTTTGAAAAATGTGGACAAGTATTTTCTTCAATGATCTCATGAGGAGAGGGAACATCTAAAGAAACTGGAAACTGTAAAAAATCAACGAAGTGCCCAACTGCTCCTTGAGGATGTTAGGAAACCAGATTGAATGCAGTGGAATATGCTTTAAACTTGGGAAAAGTTATCAGTCACTGTTGGAACTGCAAATACTAGCCAGTGAAAAAACTAAAAGCATTACTACAGTGAACATATGAAATGCATCAAATAATTGACTAGCGGTGTAACCAATTTACGCAAAACAAGGGCTCTGGAATCTGAAATGTAAACTGTCTCTTAAAAATAAACCCTGGGGGAAAATGATAGTGAGATTTAAGTCCTAGGCTAGATTGTCCATAGCTATTTTAAAAATTACTTATTTTGATAATATTGTGGTTACTTCTATCCTTTCTGTAAATTGGAGGGTGTCTACTTACATTTCATTCGTTTCTAATAAACTATCACCAGTTTACCAAAAGAATTAAAAAAACAAGACACTAAAGGATTATAGTGCTTATGCCTTGGTGATAGGGTTTTAATTTTTTGTTTCTGCATCTGTTTTCCCATTTTTCTGTATTTATTGATGCTCTGGGGCATGGTTGCACACAACTGTAATCCCAGTACCCATAAGCTGAGGCAGAAGAATTTCAGTGAGTTTGAGGTTAGCCTGAACTAGATAGTTTCTCTTGAAGGTACTAATAGTTTCAGTTAAGCTAGCAAGGCTTTTTAAAAATTATTTTTATAAAGATTTTTCTTTAAATTTTTTGCTCTTGGTATAAGTTATAATTCACATATAATTGCCAATAGATTTTTTTTTTTAAATCTTTTTGAGATGGGATCTCACTGTGAAGTTCATGTTGGCCTTGAGTTCACTTCATAGCACAGGCTTGTCTCAAACTCGCACTGATCCTCCTGCCTCAGTCTCTTGAGTGCTGGAACTACAGGTGTGTACCACCACACCCAGTCACCATGTAGATGAAGTTCTTTTGAAGAGTAAAAGAAAAATATTAAATGTTTGGGAAAATTGGGAGCCTAAGACAGGAGGGTTGTGTGCTCAATGCCAACTTTGGTTACATAACAAAACCCTATCTTAAAAAACAAAAAGTTTGGAAGAAAAAGATATGAAGTATTTATGTTCTTGGATCATAGTCTGATACTTCCAAATGTTTTCAGTGAACTGGCTAGAAAGTAACTGAAGTTATTTCTTAGCATGGAAAGTGATATGCGTCTAATATTAAAATCTTGACTTTTGTTTATATATTGGTTGTTTCTAAGTAGTAAGTTAATTTTTTATTTGTCCTAGTACTGACATGAATCTGATTAAATACAGGTTATATAGCAACATGTTATTATAGTCAGTGGATTTCCTGAAAGTCAACTGATTTTCCTTCTGTTTAGATCAACATGAAAGATAATAAAAATGCCAAATATATTGAAAATCATATTTCATCAAATGATTTGAGAGCTTTTGTGTTTGAAAGTCAAGAAGATATGGAGATTTTCCTCAGAGAGGCAAGTACTGACCACAGTACCACTCTGGTTCCCTTGGCATTTATTTTTCAGTAAATTTTTAGCTTCTGTAGAGCCAAAGTGGTTAACTAATTTTACTAACCTTAACTCTTGTGTAAAATTACTCATTTTGCTAATTTCTTTTCTGTTTATGTAATTATATCAAAGTACATTTGTTTTCTAAAAGGAAAACAGTACACTAATTCCACCTATAACATTTTGAAATTATATGGAACCAATTTGAATTTAATTCAAAACATTTTGAAATTATCAAATTAATTTGTTCTAAGAAAAAAGCATGATGGACCTTAGTTTTGGGATCACTTTTGCATGTGTGTTGGAATGAACTCAAGTTTTTTTTTCAAGGGAAAGTTGCTTATTAATTTAAATTTGATAGAAAAGAAGAAAAGTCCTATATCTGTAGAAAACCACCAGTGACTGACAATCCAAGCTACTGAAAGGCAGCAAGGATTGGCATTCAAGAACATAGGCCGTGTGGTTAGGCTGCTAGAATTTGAACCCTAGCTTTGTTTCTAACTTGTAAATTATCTAGCATCTGTGCCTCATAGTTCTCCATCAATGAAGTGAGGTTAATGTTACCTGCTTCAGGAGATAACTGTGAGGATTAAGTTATTAATGAATATTTAGCATAGTGCTTATTAGCTATTGCATGTTGTTATGTATTTACTATATCGTTAGCTGTGTATGACACTTTCAGCTATATATAAAGATTTCTTTCATTTAGTAAGATCTCGTTCTGCATTTGCTCTATATTTCTTTAGAAGGCCTATCTTAGTCACTTTTGAGAATACCAAACTTAAAGGATGAGAAACTTATTTTGCCTCAGGGTTTCAGAAGTTTCAGTCCATGATTGTTGGGTTCAACCACAGAAATGATGTTGGAGGGCCTGCTGCACAGGAATGCTTTTCACAGCATGGTGCCCAAGAAGCATAAAGAAGACCAGAATGACAGGCATTCCAAGCATGACCCTACTATTACACATTGCTATCTTCAGTGCAGTTGCTTAATTCACAGGTATCAGCATATATAGGTAGTCAGGGTGAGAATCCTACCAATTAACTGCTAGTTTCAAAAACATGTTGAAGATTCTCAGGGTCATTGCCTTAACCATCATGTGCATATAAACGTATGGTTTTGCCCCTGCCATATTTCCTAGCTTTTCTCTTTGCCCTCTCTTTGTTATTTAATTCTTAAGTTCTCACTTTCCTTTTAATTGTGTTATAACTTTCTGTTTTTATTTCTTCTTTGGAGTCCTTAGGCTAGGGAGACTACAATATTTACACATGTGGGTCTGGTTTATTTCACTTGTGAGTATATCTTCAAGTGGCATCCACTTCTATATGAAGGCTTCTAGTTTATCATTCTTTGTAGCTGAGTAATACTCCATTGTATAAAAATACCACATCTTTCATCCATTCCTCAGGTGATAAGCATTTTGGTTGCTTCCAAAATTTGGCTATCACAAATTGTGCTACTATAAACATAGGTGCATATATATCACTGTGATACGATGTTTTCAGTTCTTCTGGGAAAATTTCCAATAGGGGAATAGCAGGATTAAATGAGATTTCCAGTCCTAGTTTGATTTTTTTGTTTGTTTTATTTTATTTTTTGAGACAGGGTCTCACTGCAGTTTGAGATGGCCTTGTACTCACTTTTGTAGCACCCAAGCTGATCTCAAACTCTCAGAGATCCTCCTGTCTTAACTTCACAGAGTGCTGGGATTACAGACATGCGCCACCATGCCTGGTTCCAGGGCACACAGTAGGCACTTGGCAATCTTGGGCTGAGACTGCATTACGTGTGGGGCTGGGGACTGAACTCAGGTCCTTGTGCTTGCCAGAAAGCTGCTTTTGCCTCAGCCATCTCCCTGGCCCTCTAGTCCTGAGTTTTCTCAGGAGTCTCCACACTGATTTCCATAATGGTTGCACCAGTCTATATTCCCACCAACAGTGGAAAAGGTTTCCTTTTTCCCCATAGCCTCAATCCTACGGATAACTCACTACTATTATGGACTACTGGACTATTGGATTATTTTGTTGAATTCATGCATCTACAGTATTCAAATGGCAGTGGACTATCCATCTCTGACAAAACTAAATAAAAAAAGGGAATACAAATGAAGGACCATTTTGTATCTGTATATTCAAAATAGGATAGATACACAGCTACTTTCTCTTAATTCAATGAGAAGAAAGATTTGTACTAATAGTGTTTAGACAGGATATCATGTCTACAATTTTTTTTTTTTTTTCTCGGAACCGGGGATTGAACTCAGGCCCTTGCACTTGCCAGGGAAGCGCTTATTCCACTGAGCCATCTCCCTGGCCCCTTACGTCCACATCTTGTACTTCGAATAACTGCGAAGACAATACAATAATATGCAATGTATTAATTATTGTAACTGTCCTACTAACCTGTTTTGAAACTGTCTCATTGCTATTTGTTTCTCAGTAAAATTAAAAAGAGGAAGGGAGGACCCAGAGAGGAAGATACCCCTTGTAGGTTGTTATCTCAGTGACCCACCTCTTAACAGCAAGTCAGTGCCCCCATGATCCAGTCACCTTGCAAAAGCCCCACCTTTGAACATATGAGGCTCTTGAGCAACATCCTAGATTTAAAGCACAACAAGGCCATTATGGTTTGTGTCTGGATGGAACCCAAAGCCTCATGAGGACATAAGGGGTGGGCTTTATGAAGGAGGAGAAATCTACAGTTTGTGATAGTTTTGTTGTCTAGTGCTGTGGTTGACACTGTGAGTGTTGTACTGTTTGGCAGGCAGCCTGTATACAGTATGAAGGAGCAGAAGAAACTTGCTCTTCCTCCCTTTTGCCCCTTTTGCTCTTGTATGCTTTTGCTGTCTTCTGCCATGAACAGTTGCCTCTCTCCCATGTGCCATTCTGCCTTGGCACCAGGTAAGAACTGAAACCTCCACAAACCATGAGCTAAAGTAACTTTGGGTGTTGAGTATTTTGTCTCAGCAACAAGAAAAAAGTAACCAAGACAAAGGCCCACAAGGTTAGATTTAGATTTTGTTTTGTCTTGTTTCAACTTTGCTAACTTGTCTAAATGAGGACAGGTCCCTAAACCAGTTCAGGTGGTCCTTTATCTCTCTGGTACCTCTTACTTTCTTTGGCTTCAGTCATAGGTCCTTACTTTTAGATTGGGAGTGACAGAAAATGAACACAGAGGTGATAGGTAATAAAAAAGCCTGATATAGAAAGTTGTAAAATGAACTCTAACATGTTAGTTTTTTAGATTGTTGAAACTTCTTAAGCCCAGCAAGAGTTATTGATGTGATGTCAGAACTCACTAAAGAGATCACTTACTTGGGTTATATACCTGTGAGACCCAGAGCTTCTTCCTTTAATAGCCTGTGGCTTTATGTGTGCACTTTAAATGGTGTAGTTTGTTCTGTATAACTCTCCCCTATAATTGTGTCTACTAGAGTACTCTTTTGTATCTTTCATTAATTTAAAAATCATCTTTATAAATTTAGCCATTTTTACATACTACCGTATAGTAGTATATCTATTATAATGTTGTGCCCTCTATCAATTACCTTGTTCTTTATTACTCAAAATACTCTAAAAGAAACTGTCATTACCAAATTAGAAAATAAATAATTTACAAAAAAATAATAAAAATGTTAGTTAGAAAGATAATAAGTAGTAAAGGACATACTGACACTGTACGGCAACTTTTGTCTTTAGAATAATTATAAATATTGAAATGGAATTGAAAATAACTTTTTTTACTCTGTTTTATTTAATATAAACACCAAAAGAATAGATGAAAACTTAATAAATACTGTACGCTAGTATTAATGTTAGAGTACCTCATGACAAGTGTTGTTTCATTCACACCTGTAGTCCCCTATTGATTTTTAAATAATTTCTTGTTTTGAAATTTTCAAACTTAGAAAAGTTAGAAGAGTAACAGCACATGGGCTGGCCATGGTGGCACTTGCCTATAACCCTAGCACTAAGGAGGCTGAGGCAGGAGGATTGCTGTGAGCTTAAGGCCAGCTTGAAATGCATAGTGAAACCCTATCTCAAAAAGATGAAAAAAAAGAGAGTAGTACACAGAGCTTCTATATACCTGTTCCCAAACTCAGTAATTATGTTCATTTTGTGCTGTTGGCTTTATTATTTGTCCACACAAAGTATAATTATTCCTATTATTATATGATATGTGGATTTATAAAAATTACTGTACTGTGTAAAATTATTCAGTAAGAGCCCACAGGGCTTATATACTACAACATTCAAAATATAGAATGCAACACTCAGATGTTTAATGTGATACACAAAAAGGAGGAACTTAATAAAAACAGTAGTGCACTTTTCTCTGTTAAATTGTTACAGTGCTAGGCATCTATAATCCTAGAATTTACAAGGCCGATCCAGGAAGGTTACCACAAGTTCAAGGTCAGCCAGGAATACATAAGGAGGTGTTATTTCAAAAACAGATTGTTGTACACACATAAAGTATGATGCTCTCTTTTGAAATAGACCTAAAATTGGCTTGTGAAAGTGAACATTGGGTGAAGTAGCTTGTGAGTTACTGTGTAATGATAAGACAAGCTGGTTAAAATTAGTGAAAGAGGGCCCAGAGAGATAGTTCAGCAGACTAAAGCACCTGCTTAGGCAAGCTTAGACAAAACACCGGGACATGGTTCAGTCCCCAACACCACATGCGGCTGGTCCCACTCCCAGGGCTGCTGAGCGGGCCAGAAGCTGGGCAGGCGTGGTGGTGCACTGTAATCCCAGTGCTGGAGAGGCTGAAAGCAGCATAGCAACTAGTCTGAGTCTGAGCTGCATGATAGAACCCTGTAACAACCAGATACATTAGAAAAAAGAAAAGAAAAAATTAATGAAAGACTTTTAACTACAGATGTGTTTGTAGTGCATGGTGAATTGAGATAGTTGGTAGAAGTGTGAGGATGTTTGTGCACTCAGGAAAATTTTACGCTTTTTTAT